CAAATGCCTTTTGGAGGCGAAGCCAGAGAAGAGGAGTTGCTGAAGAACCTCGCGGTGCTAGTTCAAGGTATCCTCTCAAATCTAGTTATTGATTACGCTAACCATATTTTTAAAATCCTTGTATTGTTTTCGGTTACACTGCTCATAACAGATTCTTGTTTTTAGGTTTCAAAGAGTTCTTTCAGAGGAGAAATGTTTTTATTTTGGGGGTGATATGCAAATGTACTTAACTACTTATATGCCTCTATGGAAATAATCACTAATATTACCAGAATTATTACATTGTAGTTGTGGTTACTTTCACGATTGTAGTTTGTTTCTTTCCTGTGTTTCGGCTAGTAGTGAGCAGTAACGTAACATGTCTTTCTTTTGTTTCATTGCCTTCCTACCTGTTTCATGTGTTGCTGCTATTCTCACGCTCTATGTTTCTCCTTTTGTTTTCTGGTGTAGCCCTGAGCATCCATTAATGAAGACAAGGGCAAGATCTATACTAGGTGGCGAGCAACATTCATTTCAGGAATATGCAGAAAGTGGAGTTACATCAAGGTTTGACAACTGATCTTTTTATTTTTCTGAAGTTTGCATGTTTTCCTCAATTCTTTTCTGTGAAACAATATTGTTAAAAGTGCATAAATTCTCCACTGCTGTCTTCAGTTTACTGTCATATCCCTTTTGTTTTTCTTTTAGCTAGGTGCAATTTTATATATTTCAATGTTACAAATGTAAGTCTTCCACATAATTTTGATCGAAATCTACTTAATTTTTGGGTTATTCTTCATAGTGGCAAACCATTGAGAGCAGATTTTGTTACATATCTGATGTCCATTCACGTCATACGTTAGCTTTCTGCCCAGCATTCTGGGATAAACATGTAACAGGAATAAATTCTTGGATGTGTAACTGATATTTTGGACATTGATAAGAGTGTATAAAGTACAACCTTGGCCACTAATTGTTATAATATAATTGTAAACTTGATAAAACTATAACATTATGAAAATGTTTTTCATGACAAATCTATGCATATGTACATACATCCAATCTTAACATTTAAAAATATATTTATATTCAGTTTTGAAATTGACTTCATACATGTCCAAAACAACATGTTTGTGACCACAGGGAATAACATTTTTCAATGACTTAGCGTGTGAGTTGCTATTGATACTTAACACTTACTTACCCTTTTCATGGGTCAAACATTTGTCTTGAACATGTTTCAACTCAGTTTCTTTTACCCTTTTTGTGAACCTTCTTATTCATTTGACAAGCCAAGAACACACTTGCAGATCAGATGGTCTAGGTGGTGCATCAACATCTAAAACTCGAAGAATACGGGGAAGAAGCATTAGCATCACGCCTGAGATTGGAGATGACATTGTGAGGTAATTCTTATTTTGAACTATCCTGACGATATTTGAGATGGCATATTGTTTTCAAAGTTGTATTGTATAGCTGCGCTTGGTGCTTTCAACCAAAATATATTGATAATTTTCTTTTAGTTGTATTTTGATTCTAGATATCCTTAAGCATTTGTCTGTATTTTGCTAGATATCCTCAATGAGTATCAGGAATTCATTGTTTCAATCTTAAATCTTTGACAGGGCGGTTCGGGCTATGAATGAAACACTAAAGCAAAATCGCCTCCAAAGGGACCATGTTAATGAAGGTTCACCCTCGTATGTTGGGGAGGACCAAAACAATGCAAGTGATTGCCCAAATAATGTATGTTCCTGCAAATTCCATTGTTTAATCTTATCTATATTGGTTCTTTATTCCTTGGGAGTTGGAAATATGACTTATTTTGCTCATAATTTCATTTCAATTTAGGATGATACATCTGGAGGAGTTGTTGCTACCAACAATGGCCCAAGGAACCGAAATGGTTCCACTCAGAAAGCTATGTCATTGCCTTCTTCTCCTCATGAATATAGGGCGCAAATTTCTGAAACAATCAATCCTTGTGATTTTGTAAGTAAAGAAAAGATGGTATTGGCGTGGAACAAGGTTTTGCAGAGTTCCCCATTTCTCAATAAACCTTTATTGCCCTTTGAAGAGTGGAACATAGATTTCTCTGAGCTAACAATTGGCACAAGGGTTGGAATAGGCAAGTTACTTGAACTTCCTCAGCCAAAGTTACCGAAGTCTATTGTAAACTGTCAGCCTACCTGCTATGCTTGTGTTCTTGACTCTTCATCTTGTTGCTACTTTTGCTATGCTGCTTTCTCTTTCTAGCATGTTTTCAAAATGAACAAAAACTAAACACAACATGGGTAGTTATTTTCTCCTTAGCTATTACCAACTTCCTGTAAGAATTAGATCCATCAAACTTGGTGTTGAAAAATGATCCAATAAATTCAATCTCCCATAAGATATGACTTGCTATTGTTATTTGTTTCCATATCCACACTTTATTGAATATGTTTGGTTCAGTCAAAATTTACTAACACAAAAAAATTATATATTGGATACCGCAACTGCAAAGTTGAACAGCGATTTACTTTCTGAGGATCATGATGTCACCAACTTTTGATTCTATCATTCTTTAGACCATTTAATGGAGCTTACTCATCCATGGTATTGATAAGCATTATGAATACGAATGTAGGAATATTAATGGGGATGATGCTAAACATGTTATGCCTGAACCATTTGATATGTTGTTTCATACTTCAATGTGTGCTTTTATTTTGGGAAAGCTTTCTTATGAAAATTTTCCTTTCTTGTTTGCCTGTCATGTTTTAACATTTTTGTCACCTTGTCAAATTACTTCATCAGGATTCTTTGGAGAGGTTTTCCGTGGTATATGGAATGGCACTGATGTTGCTATCAAAGTATTTCTAGAGCAGGATCTGACAACTGAAAACATGGAGGATTTTTGCAATGAGATATATATCCTGAGGTACCTGTACTATGCTTGCTTCTGTATTATTGGCAGCCTTCTTTTTAATCATAATATGCACACTAACTTTGAGAACTTCACAATTTCCTTTCAGCCGGCTGCGGCATCCAAATGGTAAGGACTCACTTTGATTAAGTCAAACTACAATACTCAGCAGCTCTGCACTAGATATCATGCAAATGCCATAAATCACGAGTTTCTAAAGCAAATTCCATATCTGTAGTTATATTGTTTCTTGGGGCATGCATGGTACCACCACACTTGTCAATGGTAACAGAATATATGGAAATGGGATCGCTGTACTATCTCATCCATATGAGTGGTCAGAAAAAGAAGCTCAGTTGGCGTAGGAGGTTGAAAATTGTCCGTGATATCTGCAGGTTAAATCTTTCTCATTGTACAATAACTATTACTACTATATATTCCTATTAGCTGGTATTACATATAAACTTTCAGAAGATTCTGATATAATTCTCTTGTCGTGCGGACATCATCTCATAGCCCTCCTTTAGCATTCATTCTCATCTGACAAATTGTTTTGTTTACTTAAAAGGGGTTTGATGTGCATACACCGCATGAAGATAGTTCACAGGGACCTGAAAAGTGCAAATTGCCTGGTGAATAAGCATTGGACCGTCAAGATATGTGATTTCGGCCTTTCCCGAGTGATGACTGATAGTCCTATGACTGACAACTCCTCTGCTGGCACCCCAGAATGGATGGCCCCTGAGCTTATAAGGAACGAACCCTTTACAGAGAAATGTGATATTTTCAGCCTTGGTGTGATCATGTGGGAGCTATGCACATTGAGTCGTCCTTGGGATGGGATCTCCCCAGTTCAAGTAAGCACCCATCCACTTTGTATCAAAACAGTTGCATCATGAATGATAGCTGATAAAAGTTATATTCCCTGAAGTTTATGATGAATCTTTCTCTCTAGCGACATGATCAGTTAAAAAATTGCATGCATCATGTTTCCAGTTTGTTGATGTACTTATATATGGCCAACACAGTTCCTTTGACATGGCATTGTTGCCTGAACTTCATGAATTTGGTCCACTGTAGGTGGTATATACTGTTGCAAACGAAGGTTCACGGCTCGAGATTCCTGAAGGACCTCTTGGCAAGTTAATTGCAGGTAATGGTGCTTTTATATGACAGATGTTTCAATTGGGGTATTCCAGTGTTCAGAGTCATGTCGCACCAACATGCATCGGCTTCAGTTATAGCTTAGCAAAGTGTTTGCTTTTGTTTGATGCAGATTGTTGGGCAGAGCCCCAAGATCGGCCGAGCTGTCAGGAGATCCTTACCCGCTTGCTCGACTGCGAATATGCCGTCAGCTGAAGTCAAGCTGACGAACCAGCTCACTCCTTGCCTGCAGAGGCCGATAAGTTTCTCCTGTAAAACCTGTAAAAATTAGCCTGTGGATTTTGCAAACCGGCGAGGGTACACATATTGACTTCTTATATTGCGGCTGTATAACCGCGAACCTTCATGAATGTACAAAAAGAATGTGTCTCCGCTTATAGAAGAACATGCCTTGAATCGCAGGACTAGTTTTGCTGTCATACTTCATCAGGACCGTTGCGTGTCCTCGGATCTATCATTTGTTTCTCTGAAAGTTTTGGCCGGGGTACTCGGTAAAAGTTGACATTTGAGATCTTCCTTGAGATGCAACCAAATTGAGCAGAGTACCTGTGTTTTCTGACTTTATTATTGATCTGAATGTACTGCTCAGTACAGTACCCACGGTTTGATGATCCAAGCTTATCTGCTTATCGCCTGTGCTCCATACCAAAGTTGCCAGGAATGTAGAGATATGTTACGAGGATCGCAATATATTTGAGGCCATATCTGAAAAGCGAAAATTTTTTATGTTCCTCTATGCGAATCAAATCATTTTCTATGAAATTTTCCCCTTGAAACTTTTTTTCTACGAAATTTTACAAAATTCACATGAAATCCTCCTGTTCCCGACTGAACTGGGTTTTAGGATCTTGATGACTTCGTCTCAACCGGGAGAACCAACAAAATCCACCCAAAACACCTCGCCCAAAAAAAAAAAAAATCCACCCAAACACAAAGCACTCGTTGTCACCCACTTGGCCGACGTCATCGCGTCTCCACTGTGCATACGCTTCTCTCTTTCCGCCACGGCGACCCAAACGAGGCGCGACGCACGCGCCGCCCCGCCCGGCGGCTAGCCGTGTCCGCCTCTGCCACGCCACCACGACACGAGTCCTCCTCCCGCACGGCACCCGGTCCCCCCCCCCCCCCCGGCGGTGGTGCGTCGTCGTCCACCGATCCGTCCGTCCGCGCCGCACGCACGCACGCATCCCGCGCCGCGCCGCGCCGGCCCAACCGAGCGAGATTTTAATTCGGACTCCGTCCCCGACGCGACGTCCACGACAAGTCGACAACCAACTCCCCCCCTACCCCTTTCCCACCGCCGGCTCGTTGCCCCCCACGGTCAACACGAGCGAGCCGGGGGGTCGATCCAACGGCGGCCGCCCAATGCCTCCGCCCCAGCGTCTCCACGTGCCCCCCTCCGCCTCGGTCACGGCCCACGGGCCGCCTCGCCGCTCGCCCGCCTGCCTCTCCCCCCTCCTTTTATTCCCCACCGCCGCACCGGCTCACCGCTCACACCGATCTATCCGGCTAACCCCACCTGCCCCCGTCCGTCCGCCCGCCCGCCCGCCTCGGCGACTTCACGCGTACAAGGGGGATTTGTTTTCTCTAGGGTTTCGTTCGCGAGGAGGAGAGATCTGGTTGGGGAGATGGACGGGAAGCCGCCGCCGCCGAACCCGAACCTGCCCTACCGGGAGGACTGCTGGAGCGACGGCGAGACGGCGGCGCTCGTCGACGCCTGGGGGAGGCGCTACGTCGACCTCAACCGCGGGAGCCTCCGCCAGCCGCAGTGGCGGGAGGTGGCCGAGGCCGTCAACGCGCGGCCGGGGGCGTCCGCGCGCCGCCGGCCGCCGCGCACCGACATCCAGTGCAAGAACCGCGTCGACACCCTCAAGAAGAAGTACAAGGCGGAGCGCGCGCGGGGGACGCCCTCGTCCTGGTACTTCTACAGGGACCTCGACATGCTCGTCGGCCCTACCCTCTCCGCCGCCGCCGCCGCCGGCGGTGGCGGTAGCGCCAAGAAGCCGTCCCCGCCCCGCGGGCTCCCCATGATGCGGAGGCGCCTGGAATCGCCCTCCCGCTCCCCCTCGCCGCCGTCACCGACGCCGGCCGTGGCCCTCCCCTTGCCAAACTACCGCCAGGCGTCGAACCTCCCGTCCGCGGGCCTCCTCTTCAATAAGATGGCTGCAGCGGCCGCGGCGGAATCTGATTCAGAGGACGGCTACAACAACCCGAACAACAACTATGAGGACGATGAAGACGACGGCTCGCAGCAGTCGGCGTCGCGGTCCGTGTCGTCTCGTTCCGGTGGCGTTGCAGCTGCAGGTGCAGGTGGTGGTGGCGTCAGCAGCAGCAAGAGGAAGAGGGGAGGCGGCGGCGGCGGAGGGTTCGGGGAGCTAGCGAGGGCAGTCGAAACATTTGCCGAGATGTACGAGCGCATGGAATTCGCTAAGCAGAGGCACGCGGAGGAGATGGAGAGGCAGAGGATCAAGTTCCTCAAGGATCTGGAGCTGAAGCGGATGCAGGCTTTCGTGGACGTGCAGCTTCAGCTTGCAAAGGCAAAGCACGGGAAGCATCCTGATGGTGCCACGGAGATGCTCATGTCTCTCGCCGCGCTCCCGTTCCTCAGCACCCCTGCTTACCTATGATAATTTAAGAACAAGAGTTTAGGTAAAGATTTGTTTGGTCTCAGATTTATATTGTGGTGGACTGGTGGTCATATTAGGCCTGTAGTGGATTTTTCATGCGATTCCTATATGGGTACTGTTCCTTTATATTAAGCTGTCTCAGATATTCCAGCGTGCTTAAATTTGGCAATGCCTGGTTGATATCTCCTCAGATTGGGAGGTTTACTAAGTTTGAAATTCAACTGTCAATTAGCTTTCTTCATATCATGCTTCAATTACTTGGCCGTATATACACACTATAATATTAGGGAGTATACCTCATCATAAAATGCAGGCCTCAACCTCACCATTCTAAATCAGACTGGGTTATGTGTATGTTGATGTCTGTACGCCTTTCTAGTTGGCTGTATTTTGATATTGGCAAGAGGGATCTTCTACTCATTCTAATATGATCTCTCATCTGCACTTATGATCTGATAAATTTTCTATTATACAGTCGAATTGAATTCATGCTTTAGCTTTGCCAATTTGGAATTTGTGGCAACCGGCAAGTGGGTTTTCTTATTAGATATTCATCTGCTCTAATGATCTCTTACTATGTATGTTTATGGTTCTGGATTTTTGACTTGTGACTCGTTAATGTTCAAGTATTTTGTGCTAGGAATTTTCTTTTGGGCTAGCCCTGATCAGATGGCCATACATCTCTATACTTTTGTGCTAGGTTTTTGTTTCTGGGTTTTGCTTTCATTTCGGTCATATCAGTTCATAATAGGATTTGTGCTTAATTGTCTGAGGTAAGGAATTAAAATTACTAATGGTATGCTCTCGACTTGCACTGTGAGATAGTTCACTGGTTAAAGATCATCTTGAACAATACTTGTGCTTCTCAACTTTGATTATATGTGTATAATATATGTTGGTGTGTCTTGCGGTGTATTGTGGCTTTGCTTTAGGCGTTTGTAGTTTGGTACTGCATTGTTATCTGTCTTGTTAGCTTCTATGGCTATTCATATTTTCAACTTTTTTAGCTATATTTAATATGCATTGATGTTTGTTATTTGCTCTTTTTTACATCCTCTAGAATTATTTTTGTTAGTTTATCTTATAACTGAACTATAAACATAATAACAGGTTTTGTGCCTTTGTTGAGTGAGTTAGGGCATTAGAGGTTAGGTTTATCCTGATTCCTGAAGACCTGAACTAGAGCAGTATGTGCATTACTTACAAGCTCAGATTAATTATCATATAGCATATCTCACCAGTCACCAGTCACCGTTCACTACCTTTGGCAAATATTGTAGTAACGACACATCAATTAGTTGTATTTGAATAGGTGACCACCATTGTTCTTTTACCCATGGTACTAAGAGATCTGGTTTCAGTATGATTGTTCCAGTTTTGCAAAAAGAGAAGCCAAGTTTCATCATTACTTAGTTCAATAACTAAAAAAATATTAAACTCTGGTATGAGCATCGTAAAATCTGATTGTTGCATGAATCTGTTTTGTTCTATCAAATTGAAACTTGTCATTTTGAGTTTCCTCATAGTTCCATCCAAGAGAAAGGATGCATGTCATTTTGATTAACTCTGCAGTTATGCATTATATCTGCTGATTGTCAGAGTTGCTTGTAGTGTTATGTACTCCTACTGCCGTTTAATCATTGGTTTCTGTTCTTCCAGATTATTCCTAGGATTATCGTTGTTTCTGTTCTTCTGTTCTTCCAGATTACTCCTAGGATTATAGGAGAGCAGATTACTCCTAGGATTATCATTAGTTTCTGTTCTTCCAGATTATTCCTAGGATTATAGGAGAGGAGTCACCACTCACCAGATTAGGATTATAGGAGAGTAGGAGTCAAGCTCATGGAGCTGACGGTGCGAGCTGCTCTTTGGTGGAGAGAATCAGCTAGAGTAGTTCGCATCACAAAAGATGCTGTGTAACTAGTGTTGCGTGTTCCCGGCAAGAGCACTTTTTCTTGCACTTTGGTGTTAAGTGTTGACCGCTATTTTACCTACACTTTTTTTTGGACAGTCAAGCTCTCATGAGCTTCTGTTTAATTCTAGAGGATGTAAAAAAGTTAAAGGACATACGTACTGCTTTGAAGGCTGTTTGAGGTCTGTAACGAAAATGTTAGATATGGACAAGTTAAAGTACATACGTACTGCTTTGAAGGCTTTTAGTAGGAGTATCTGTTCAGGTTGATTTCTAAGTTCTAACCCATAACTGAAATTAACAATTTGCGGGTAACCAATAAACTGCGTTCAGCATTAATATCCCATGTGTTTTGCATACTCTCTCCATCTTAGAAAATATAACAATTTAGAAGTAGGTTTTTTTTTTTTCGGGACAGATTGGTTTTTCTAAGGATGGATGGAAAAGTAAGAAAAAAAATGGGTCCGATATCTGTTCATGACCCGTCTGAATTTCTGAAACCGTATTTACAAGCAAAAGTTGAGTCACGAAGCATCGGCACGATATAATTTTTTACATGTTACTAACTCTTTTTGAAAACTTATCTTGTATAAACAGATCTTTAAAAAATCAGTTTGGAAATAAACTATTTTTCTCGGTGTCAATGTTTAATATCTCAACACTAATTATACTGGCGCCAACACCCCTCGTCTACCATGATAGCTAAGTTGCTAATATGAAGGAGTTTGGCACTAGAATGATTAGCACTGAGAACCTATTTGTAAACAAAATCGTAGGAAGTCTAGAAATGGTCAAACATAGGTACTTTGCACCAAGGACATAGTTGTAAGAATAAATATTTACCTTTGAACCCTTTTTGAAAAATTAAATGGGTCCTCGACACCAATCTCTTTGGCGACGATCCCTCTATATCTTTGTTGCTACGGAGCGAAGATGTCGGCTCTCAGGCCCGGTCCTATCAATTTAGTAGCCCGGAGCGAAGCTCGATAGATGGGCCCTTTAATATAACTCTGATAATATAATGATGTTTCTAACAAATGTAATGCATAAAAAAACATTCCTATCAAACAAGTTATATATCTTTCTTTCCTGGGCTTTCTAAATCTAAGTTCTTATGGCCTATGGGCTCCTATATCCATAGCATATATATATGGGGTTGTGCCCCTTGACTTCGAGGGCTCAGTGCGATGGCACAGCTCGACCCTTCTTAGGGCCAGGCCTATCGACGCTATCATTGGTGCTGAGACATTGGACCTCGACACCAAGGTCACTAGTGCCTAGAAAAAGGATAATTCCTTGAACAAGTTTATCCGTGGTTCTATTTGTGAAATAATTTTTCATAAAGGGCCAAAGTGTTAAAAATCCATGTTGGTAGGAAGCCAATTTTGAACGGTGTGTTGAAAGTTGAAACTGAGTATTAAACAATAACCAAGTCCAAGAAACTAACATTATTAATTTAGTGCATTATTCACTCTATTCTAAAATATACTCCCTCTGTACTCGTAAAGGAAATCGTTTTGGACAGCGACACTGTCTCCAAAACACAATTTTGACTTGTTGTTTCTATAACAATATTTATTGAAACGTGATATATGTATACTTTTATAAAAGTATTTTTCAAGACAAATCTATTCATATAATTTTTCATTTTCAAACTTAACAACTTGAGAGTTATTCACGATTTATATTCCCAAGGTTTGATTTAAACATTGTCCAAAACGACTTTTTTTACGAGTACGGAGGGAGTAGTAACTAAGACTGCATGAGATATATGTCTAGATTCATAGGACTAAGTTATATTACATTTGGATGGATAACTATCCCCTTATCCATTCACAAAATCCTAATTCCTATTGGGGATAAGACTCGAATTTGTGATTTATGATCCTTGAGGTATTACTTTGTTTTATATTAAAATAAGTTTATAAGATTATGAAAATACTATAATCATATATGCATTTAATTTTTTAAATTTACGGACATCCGTAAGTTTAAATTGAATAAGTTTAAATATTTTAAATTTTAATTATGTGAAAACATCTTCACCATAATCCATATAAAATTGATCCCCTTTAATCATGCCTTCCTTTTCCCAACAAACCCTAGCCGCCACTCCCTCTCCTAGCTATTGCGGTGACTCTTCTAACCCCACAATCCATATAAAATCGATCCCCTTCCCTTCTTCTCAAACCCTAGCCACCACTCCACCTACCCCCACCATTGTGGCGATTCTTCTTACCATTGTTTTGTTGTTGCTCTAGTGCAACACAATTCGTCAACACTTGACCACATCTTTTCTTGTGCCTTTTCTTTCTTCCTGTTTTCTTTTGCACCGTTTATCTCTATAATATCATTGTTCTTGTCTCACCACCATGGTATACCTTTGAATTTGTTGCCTTGCCTTGTCCCACCATTTTTCCCGACGGATTCAACAACATTACCGGTGGCATGCTACCTTAGTCGTTCCTCCAAACGCCTAATCTATGTTTCTTTTAACTCCAACATAAAAATTTTAGCTTGTTAGATTCATCACCGCCTATTGCTATCACTAGAGAAGGAGAAGAAGAATCACCATCCTCATCCATCAAGGAGGCTAATCGCCACTGTTGCCACAAATGAGGCGCACAATAGCTATTTCGAGAAAACAAAACCTCCAAAAGGCAAAGGTGAGATAATCTAATTATTAGAAGGAAATAATATTAGTACAATTTTTGCATGTCTGTCCTTCCTCCCTCACCTATATATAATCCTTCTTCATTATTTTTTCGAGCCAAACTCATTCATCTCAAGTTCAAGAACATTTTCTCTCTTTATGATCTCTAGTCCCTTTAAAACACGACACCCTCTTCCGATGATTATTTCTCCATCAGTTATGGTAGCCTACTAAATTTTGCCTAGATTGGCAAAATAATATTACCTTCTCTCCTTTTCTTGCTAGAGAAATGAGGAATTAAAATCAAAATTTTCTTTCCGACAAACTATTTGCGTTTTTTTTCCATTCACATGTCTCCACGCTCCTTTGTTAAAAAAATGCAATATGTTTCATCCTTATCAGTTGGCCTTTTGTTTACACAGGGAGTACTATGTTGTATGAAAATTGTAGGCCCTACCATTATTCACGTATTTCCATTTTCTCTTTTATTTCTAAGTACGAAATCTCGAAGTGAATAGTCCGTAATACCCTTCTTCCTCTTTGTCCCCGGTTTTCTGGGCCTCCCTTGGCCCTGCCTCTAACGCTTCTGTTGCTCCCTTCTATTTTTCCTCCTCCCTCTCTGCCACGTCTCCCCCCGGCTTCCACCGGAGAGGAACCCCTCTCTCACGCCGCCCCCATCCCCAGATTCCTCCGCGAGCGAGACGCGAAGGAGCGACACGTACCCCGACGGCGCAATAAAGCAGAGGCGGTCGGCGACCTGGGCCGCGGCGAGCAGGGGCGGGTCGGCGGCCGGCGACGCGGCAGCGCGAGGGGTGGGGTGTGCACGGGCGAGCGAGGGAAAAGCGGGGAGGAGGGGAGGAAAGAGGAGGTCGCGGGTGTACGTGTCAATTCAAATCCCTCATTTTACTTCGGTTTTAAGTACCTCGAATAATAAATAAAATGATTATTGGATTGGATGATGCTGCTGATCTCACTGGCATGTTCCCCTCGTCATGGCTGTGCTTGAATGTTTTCTCTTTTTTGTTTGTTTGTTTGCAGGGAATGGAGGTGGTTGATCTGGTCTCGTCCGACTCCGAGTCCGAGGAAGAGGACGAGGCGCGCGTGCACTCGCCCGATCGGAAGCGCGCTGCCTGCGAGGCGGATCCAAGAACCGAGTCGGAGAGCTTCCTCGAGCGGGAGAGGATGGCGAGGCTGCTGCATCGGCATCCGCATCCGCATCCGCCGCCGAGCCAGGAAGTGAAGAAGGGCAAGGAGAAGGTCGGCGAGGGGGAGATGCTGGAGAGAGCGGTGTCGGCGCCTGTTGATCCTTTGATCGGCTCCCGTGGCTGTACATTGGGAGCGGGAGGCGAAAGCAAGCCTGGAGATGGGGGAAATGGCGGATCAATCTCCGCGCCTCAGGATGAATCAGACAGCAAGGGGTTGCAGGAGGGACATGGACAGCACGGGCTGCTTCACAGTGGTTCCGGCACGCCGGATGACAAGTGGAAGGGGATTCTTGGTGCGAGGCCCGCTGATCCTGCTGTCGACAAACTGTCGCATTCGCGGGACAATGGCAAGAGAGAAGATGAGGTTCCAATGCATGAACCAAGCTCTGTAGCCACTAATGAAGTTACTGGAGCTGGTGATGTTTCCATGGAAGATGGTAGCTCCACATGGCTATCGAGGATCAAGGGGCTCAACTACCCACTTCTTGATGAGAATCAGTTAAGAACCAGACAAATTGAATCCGATGAGGAGTTTGCACGCAGGCTTCAGGAGCAGTTAAACAAGGAGCAGCCAGGCTCGCAAAACTTAGAAGAGGTTGTTACTCATGGTTACTTCTCAATCTTGCTATCCTGGTGCCAATTTAAATCATTTGTTTGTTATAGGAGTAGTTGGTTTTGTTGTCTCTACGTGATGATTGTGGTTTCTTCTGATTATTCAGTACTAACTTAAGAAATGACGGACTTATTACTTTGAGAATATGCCAATTGCCTGGTCACGAGTGGTTTAACCTCCCCACCCAATCTTCAGTTGGCCATCTTGTGAATGTTGAATTTTTCTTCTCATTTTTAAAAACTCGCTTATTCCTGGAATCTGGCAGGTTGATACAACACTAGCCTGGACATTGCAAGAGGAAGATGTGGAACACGCTAGAAATGCTGTCAGAGAGGGCCAATCTAGCTCTGTAAGTTGTCATTGTGGCTTGATGCATCCGTTGTGAAAATCACCTATGGCCTGCAACAATTTTGTTTTCATCTTTATGAATAATGCCATGGTTTCAGTTATGACTATTATGTTGATCCTAATAAGTGATAACCATGTCTGACATTATTGAAAACTACAGCTACCACGCTTATTTTCATTGAGAAACTTGGCGCCTTGCAAGTAAATTAGCTGCAAGTGCCAATTACTTCTTGCTAATTAAACATTGAGATAAAAAGGCATGACAATCATATCTGTCTGCAAGCATAAAAAACGTAGCAATGGTGTGTAAAACAAATTCAGATAGCAAAACTTAAGACCAAAAGCACTTAATTATCCACTGTTGTTCTTGATAAAACATAAGACCAAAAACACTTGATTATCAACTGTTGTTCGTAATCTTATATTCTTTACTTGTATTTCTATCTTGTGCTTATGGTGGCCTATTGGGCTATGGCATCCCATGTCTTAATTACTTCCATTATTTATCTGAAGCTTCATCCAATCATTTCTTTATTAAGAGGTGTAATATTGTTCTTCTCAGAGCCAAAGGGACCGTTCAATGGCACACTTGTATTCATTTGGCCGGCACTCACCAGTTCACAGTATCAATGTTCTGACTCCAATTCCAAGCAGAAGGGGTTCGCAAAGAAGCTTCAACCGCCCTGACAGAGAGCAACAGAATGTGTGAATCCTTATAAATTTATTTCTTCAACCTTCACTTGTGCACTCACATTTGCTTATTCTCAGATGCTTATCTCCCAATTGACTAGAGGATGCTTCAGAGATGAAAACATGGATCTAGAAACGGTTGGTCATTACTCTCTAATCTATGATATGGCTATGTTGGAGTATCAAGGGGCTTTTTTTACCTAGTTGATTAGCATTCCGCCATGTTATCATTCCCTTGTGTTTTTCCATTATGCACAGGCATTAACACCAAAAGTGCTCCTATGTGTTTTTGGCATTCATCTTATCAATCCAGATAGGTTTATTATAGAAGCAAAACACTTTATTTAATGCCCCTTATACGATATTGAAGCAACTCCTTTTTTCTTCTGATGGGTCAATACATTGGAACACTTGTGTTACAGCAAACATTTTTTCTTTTTGAAAAATATGCAGCGCATGGCAATACTGGATTCACTCGAAGAAGCATTTGGAAACTTCGGAGAGGAATTTATGTCAGAATCTGATGAGTAAGTACTTAGCTTTTTTATAACAATGCTTTTCTGATGACATTTTCGCCACCAGGCAATAAATTTGTCATAGTTGCGAGCTTACTCCTGCCTTTTGGTATAAAATATTCATATCATCATATGCTATGCACTTGGTATTACATTCTTAGTGCTTCATAATGTGAAAGTACAATTAGGTTAACACTAACGTGGCTTGACCCATATGTCTTGCAATAGGGATGGCTGGATGGTGCTCTCCTAAAATTTTGCTTCTTTTACTGAAGCTGTTACTATGCTGATGTATATGTATTCTGACTAATTAGTGTTATTTTTGTTGATCAGTGATGACTATGAGAGCCTAATAAGACTTGATGACAACAACCATCACAGGGGTGCTTCTGACATTCAAATAAACAACCTGCCACTATCTGTAGTTGAGGTCTGAATCGGTCTTGCTCGATATGGATATGCTTTTTTTTTTTTTTGGGGGGGGGGGGGGGGGGATTTAGTAGAGCTAATCTTGCATTCTCCTTTTTATCAGGGAGAGAGTTGTTCTGATGAACCCTGTCCTATATGCCTGGATTGCCCTGCTGCTGGTGAATACCTCCGGCGTTTACCGTGCCTGCATAAATTTCATAAAGAGGTAGTACATGCAAACACTCCAGTTATACACTTGAACTGCTTTGAACCTTAAATTTCAGCTTGGCATCTTCTCTGAATATCTGCCTTCTCTTCCACAGTGCATTGACAAATGGCTTCGGATGAGGATTTCATGCCCAGTATGCAAATCTGAGGTGATCTGACAGGAGTCCATACCATTGGCAAGTAATTTTTTTTTTTGGAATAGCATGACAAACCGTGTCCATACGGACCACCATCGGAAATATTTTTTGGAATAGCATGAATATCTGTTTAAGCCGTCTCTTTTTTTTACCAATAGAAAGCGTTGTTACTTGTAACCTGTTAGCTGTTACTGCCGGTGCCGCAGTGTGTAAATAGCACGGTAGTGTGTGCTGCTTTCTGCTCTTTCATGGATCTCTATGAACATGAGATATTTGAAAGCTGTGGAGTATTTTACGCTGCGAGAAGAAAAGAAAGGCATTTCATAATATCTTGTGTTCCTTGTTGTATACGTTGGTATACCCCTCTACAGGGAAGACAAGTGGCAATTATCGCTTTTTATTATTTTTAGTTCCAGAGTTCCACTGACTCAATTTTACAAAACCGCCTCAAATTTAAACTCAACTATACAAAACTGCTCCAATTTAAACTCCAATTCGGCGCGATTCGGAGCTCAGAACGCAACCGTTCGCGTATATAATAAACTGAGACGCAGCTCGCGACGCCACGAGGTGTGTCTCTCTCCCGTTCACCCGTCCGTATCCTTCCCGGATCACTCTCTCCACTCTCCGCTCCCCACCGCGCGAGAGATATTTTCGCGCGCCATGTCGCTGCCCGCCCTCGCCGCCGGCCGCGCCGCCTCCGTGCGGCCGCCGCGCGCCTCGGCGGCCTCGGGGGAGGCGGCTGCTGCTGCGGCGGCGGATCAGCCGGCGGGGCGGAGGCCGGTGAAGGTGATACTGCCGAAGAAGAAGCCGCAGAAGTGGTCGACGGGGATGGCGCCCGGGGAGTACGGCGGCGGGCCGGCGACGCCCAAGCCGCGCAAGTACTGGATGGGGAAGGAGGACCGCGACCCCGTGGGCAACACCGACGACTTCATCTGGAACAAGGACTTCCTCCCACACATGGAGCGCGTCATCGCCAACGGCGGCGCAGACACGCCCCCCACCATCACCCGCCTCACCCCGGTACGACGAAGCCCCAGACCTCACTCATCTCTAATCGCGCGCGTATGATTGTGCCTATCTGCTCCGATCTAGTGACTGAACTAGTTGCATCCGTGGCATCGTTTGTTTCGAAATTCCAAATCGAGCGTAGAATTTTGCCTGCACTGGATGCTGGTCTATTGTTTCTAAAGTAGCAAATCGTTTGAGCAGGTGGATGAGGACTCGGAATCAGGGTTCCTAAGCATCAACCGCGCAATGAGCCTCGACAGGTTACTCTTTCACCTCACCCTCCTATCGAATTCTCTGCTCACATTTGGTGTTGCGACTGTTTAGTGACCTGTGGTTTCTATTGCAGTGTGGATGTTGATCTGAGCAAGGAGCTTCAGGCGCCAACCAGGCCAATCTTGAAAACCCAGGTTGAGGCTGCCTGGAGGGGGCGGGCCATTGGAGCTGAGGTGACAGCCTGTGATCTCATTGTTCAAATATCTTCCCTTTGTTATGGTGTACCAGAGATGGTGCTAAGCTATGGTTTGTGGATTTCGTACGTAGGCTGTCAACGGTGTTGCGTCTCCTAGATGGAGGCTAGTTCCGACTCGCCGGGAACAAGCAAAGTGGGACCGAGCAGCTAAGGCAGCAACTGGTGGCAGTGTAAGTCACTGTAATCTTGTCACTGATTTATTGGTAAATGTAGGTATTTTTTGAGATATACTACATGTGATAGTCTTTTAACTGTTTCTCTCTTTTTTTAGCATGCATATAATGGTACTTCATAGTTTTGGTCTATGTTCTTTTGTCCCCCTTTAGGATGTCATACTAAGGGAATCAAAGTCAAGAGGGCAGCAAGGAGACCCTGAGGTATTGGCAGCTAAATCAAGGGAGCAATATCTAGAGGTATATCACTCTTCTTTCTAGTTGTTTGTTTGGGTATCGTTCTTTCAGACACTTGAGGAACTCCATTGTCCAAAATCAGTGACATGTACCTTGAGAATCAAATATATGTAGCTTATCTATTGGTCTTTACTAAGCAGAGTGGGATGTTTTGCAGTTGAAACAAAGATTGCAGTTGTTTACTTTAGGCATTGGTGGCATTGGTTTGGTCTCCGCCTATTTTTCCTACTCTCCTGAGATTGCTGCAAGGTATACCTTGGATTGATTTTTTCTTGATGAATAACATTGACTCTGTGTTTATTTAGTGATTTTTCTGACAAATGATTATATATTTGTATATTTGAAACGGTAGGCAATGATTTTGATTTTTTACTATATAGACAAACTTGACTGTACTTTTGGTTTCCACCTTTTAGGACTTGTTTGCTTATGTTGATATTGGTTGCTCTTCAGCTTTGGTGCAGGGCTGATTGGATCTGTCCTGTATCTCCGCATGCTTGGGACCAGTGTGGATTCCTTAGCTGGTGGAACTGGAGAAACTGTGAAGTATGTTTCATTATGTTGTTTTTCAATTGGTATTTGTGGTCTTGTGGATAAACACTTGAGTGGTATTTGAGAAAAGAAAAAGATAAAACACTTGAGTAGACTTCTTCTCATAATTGGTTTAGTTTGGCTCAGCTACTAAGGCTTTGTGATCTCATTTTAATATTTTATAGCACTGCAGTTTATTAATTCAAGGTCTTGTAGAACTCGTTTAGTTTGGTATATCTCGCTTAGGGGTTTATCTTGAAAGAAATCTAAAATGATAAAACTTCATCATCTGAACATTCCCCTCCCATGTATTATACAATGCCCTTCAATTATGTTGGTCACCTCTATCTTTTCTTTAAAAATTTTACAACGGAATGTGACCGATGTTCAGCAAATGCTAGGCAACTTTTAAAATATGCTCACATGCATCTTATTTTATTCTTGCATGCTTACAGGAGTGCTGCTGCCCAACCAAGACTGCTTATTCCAGTGGCACTTGTGATGATGTATAACCGATGGAATGAGTAAGTAGATGAAATTTTATTAAACTTTTGATGTTTGAATATTCAAATAGTAGAACGTATGGTTTTCTTACATGTATACCTGTGCTTGCTGGTCTGATGCAGGATTTTAGTTCCAGATTATGGCTTCATGCACCTGGAATTGATACCCATGCTTGTTGGGTTTTTCACCTACAAGATTGCAACATTTGCTCAGGCAATTCAAGAATCTATACCTGCAGTTGGGAATCGTGAATCTTGAACATAGTTCTGGTGAATAGAATTAAAGGTAGTTGCCCTGAGGAAGATAGGTCACGGAGATACTGAGGTGCAAGCTTTTATCCTTTCTTCAACACAGTAGTAATAGTTGCCTGTGTCAGGTCAACAATAGTTTTTAAGTAGCTATGAGTATGCTTGCAGCCGATGCATGTACTTACGTCCAAGTGACCATTGAGAAAGTAATAAGTCCTCACGGTGCCTTTGAAGCCGCATAACCATAGACTTGAAGGAGTAGACACCAATTCAGAATGATGACATATCTTTTGCTGTCAACAGTGGTTTTAAATTGCTATGAATGTACTTACAACTGATGCATGTGATTCTGACTGTTGAATAAATTTAAAAGATTTACGCATATCGTACCTTTGAAGCAGAATTTCTTTAAGTGCGCATATGATTGTACACCTTTTGAAGTGAAGTACCTTCTGTCTGTCTAATCCTGATCAAGTTGTTACTATTTTTTACAGGCCAAGGTTTTATAAGAATCTGATCTGGGGATGTTACCAAGATAAGATGCACACTCAGTCATTGAGGAGCGAGTATACCATCTGAATCTTGATCCAAATTTTATTATAGCTGCACAATAGAAAGTTTGTACATAGGTATGTAGTCAACTTCATCCAACATTACACGTAAATCATCAAAAATCATGTACACCTCTAAACTTTTAGCACAGTGACCACCGAATTTTATGGTTGATCTTAAATTTAACAGTATATATGGTCAGGACTCGGGACCAATTCTGAATGCGAATAACACAGGCTGTCAATACAGCTGTTTTAAAAGTCACAATTCAGTAAGCTTGGGGAATCCTATGGAAACTTTTCTTTTTCATGAACTGGAGACTCTTTTGAAGTACTTAACTGGAATGAGGGGAGTACATATATGACCTTTATCACATTGCTCCGTGTACTGTGTGAAAAACGCACCTGCACCAGTGCCTACTTGTTTAAAAGTGGCATGTTAAAGACAATCACAACCACTGCACATGGAATCTGAGACAATTACTTTGAAGTATGTTTATTGTTTGACATGGAGAACAAATTAAAAAAACTAGCACCATATCATCACTATCATGAACAGCTGAACTGTTATCACTATAAAGTTTTTACTATGATGTTTTACCCTTTATTTGGATTTATTTGGAAGATGAATTGTTGTTTTCCCTTTGTCCTGGTCCTCCTGGAATACTCCTGCCTCTCCCCCTCATGCTATTACTACTGTAGTGCATATAGAATTAAGATATGTCCATAAAACAGCTTTTTTCGCAACACATGAATTTGTCAGGAATTCTCCATGACATCTGTTACACTCTCATTTGTTCAAAAAGATGATTGGCAAGAGGTCAAGTACACACACCTACCCCGTACATTCCATTTATTGCACGCCTACGGACTACAGCAACTCTCAGCATTGTCACAGGTACCACATGAACACATGATCTATTGAATGACTTATGGAGTAATTAACTGTGAATGGTGCAGAGCCAAAACATGGGCAACCAAAAGAACTCAAGAAGACGAAGATTTCAATAAATCACGGCTCAATCTGCCACTCTGATTCATCATCTCATTGCCTCGAGGCCTGCTGCTGCTGCTAGTAGTAGTAGTACATTCATTTGAACTGCCTACCAATTTTGAAAGCACCCAAATTTCCAAATTTCCTTTTCTTATCTCTTTCGTTGCTGGCCTCATCCATTTGGCCACCAAAAGAATCCTAAAATGGTATCTCCAAAAAAGAAAAACAGAAACCTACCCGTACCCTCCAGAAAAATGCCAAAAAGTGGAAAGAGGAGACTCTCCGACGCGTGGGCCCCCCGGGGGGGGGAGGAGTGACGTCACCCGCGCCATGTGAGGAGGAAGCCTCGAGGCGAGCCGGAGCCACGCCGCGCCCACGCCTACGACCGCGAGTCAACGCTCTCCGCCCCCTCGGAGGCGGCGGGGACGGCGGCGGGGGGAGACGCCGCGGAGGCGGAGGCGGCGGCGGCGGCGGCCGATCGGGCGGCGCTGGGGCGGGGCCTGCGCCTTCCCGGGGACGCCGAGGCGACGCGGCGGAGCGCGCCGCCGGCCGTCCAGTAGCGGCGGCAGGAGCGGCAGAGGTGGCGCGGCTGCCGCACGTTGTAGTTGTTGAAGTAGCAGAACTTGGTCTCCCTGCTCCCGCACCGCGGGCACGGCAGCGGCTCTCCCCCTCCTCCCCCTCCTCCGCCACCGCCACCGCCCGCCGCCTGCAGAGTCTGCGACGTCCCCGCCGCCGCCGCCGCCGCCTCCATCACCGGCGGCGCAGGCGGATGCGGATGAGGTGGCGCCTGCGCCGCCGCGCTCTCTTCCACGCCCCGCTGTCCGTCGGGCTGGATCACCTTCCCGAAGAGCTTGAACCCGGAGGCGTCTGCGGCGGCGGCGGCGGCGGTGGAGGGGAGGTTCGCCATGGATGCGCGGGGGAGGAGGGGGTTGGTTGGGCGAAGCGACCCTTTATATAGCGGAAGAGACGGCCATCCCACTCGCTTTTACTTCTCCCTCTACGACTCTGTGTGTACTTTTTTTTTTCAGATCAGCAATAATTAACTAAACTTAACTATAATCAAATTAAATTAGTCGCTTAAAATCCTGTGGAGATGGATAGGAGGGGGAGAGATGGAGCATGGGGGTGGCGCAATATATATCCACCGGAAAATCATGTGGAAATGCTGGGAAACGTGGCCTCATGTGGCCTCAAGATTTTGCAGCACAAAGTGACCCGATTGTTTGTTTCATTCACAGCCAATGAACTCCACTCTCAGTCGTGTTGACCCTGAAACCCTTTTTTTTTTATTGCCCTTCTTGTCGTTTGACTTTTCTGAAGCTTTTTCGAACGGATAGCAGCTGGAAAGCTGGATAGATCGATCGGCCTCTGTGGCGATTGGTTAATGATTCTTGTGTGGAACAGACTCGAAACACTTGGTAATAAAGTTGGAAGGATACTCAGGAATGATACACTGTCTAATTATTATATATCGGGTCAAACCTCCGAACGAAGGGATCGGAATTGAGTGTCACTGTGAGCCTATCGATCTTATTCTTAAATCTCAAGATGGAGATTTTCTGCCGTGTGCGCGCGCGTCCGCTGCTACGTGAAGATACGGGAGAGCAATCTCCGTGAGCGCGACGACGAGAAAAGATAATTCTATGGCCAAGAGTGATGGAACCTATCAGATCGACAGATTTCCATCCCCATTTCCCCCAAAATCGATCGATCGATCGATCGAGCTGTGGTTTCTCGGCAACCAAGCGGCTCAAGGTCAGCGGCGAAACGTGCACAACATGCCAGAAATCAATCTTCAAGCCGAGGCGTCGTTTCGTTGATTAGGTCATGGAAAGAAAAAAAAAACGCCGTGCACAACGTGAGCAAAGCTAGCTGCTAGCTGCGCTGCGAGACAAGCATATGCATGGGCAAGTGCAGCGAATGGGGGCACGCACCGTACCGTCAGGCGGAGCACTGTGGGTTGGGTTCGTGTAGCCAGTAGTACGGGTGAGACCGCGAGAGCCGACAGGGTGAAGCCCCGAAGTGACGCGTCGGTCCAGGTTAGGTCGCCACCCATGCAGGCTGCAGCAAGGCATGTACTCCAATCATGCAGACGGGTTGCTGTCTCGTTAAAGCCGTGGTATTTAGTAGCAGCAGTAATTTGCGCCTAATGTAATAGTAGTATAAAGCGCCATCAGATTAATATTCCTCCTCCTTTTTGTGTGTGTAAAGTCAACTCAAGTCTATCAGTTGGCTTTCCTACATCATCAGGCCTCTCTATGAGGAAAAGCTGGCACTTGTCGTTTGTCGGACAAAGTATTAAGGACTGACACTGATCTCAACTTCTAGAATGCACCCAGATGCTTTGATTGCAACCCTATAATAATTACATTACAGGACAATACACCGGTCGAAGATGAACTCGAACAGAAATTCCTCCCAAATTTAATCTAAGGTTTGTAATATTTGATATGCGTTCTGCAAGATTAGGCGAACAATTAGGCACTGACCTTGACCTTTTCCTACCCGGAACAGGAGGAACATTCGCTCCCGATTCATTTCGATGCCAATGACACAAAACATTATCATTTTATCTCCAGTAGTAAAATTACCTAGCCGGTTGGTGAACCAGGAATCGACTAGTCAAACTCTCGCTTAATCAAATCTGACAGACTGCAAAGGATTTATCAAATCCTACTCACTTACGTATGTTGCCGTCCCAATAAACAAAAGCATACGTGGAAACAGTGGTTGGATAGATTGTGTTGCTGATAGCCGGGTTAGTATACTACTATACTGCACTCGATGTAGTAGTATCAGACTATCAGTAGCCACGAAAAGAACCTTATCTTTCTAATTCCTTGGATTATTGTTCCAAGTTAAGCCTGATTTGTTGCTGTCGCGGAGGTTGGATTGCGTGAGCTTCTGGGTGTGATTCTCTACCTCCCCAAGGAAAGGAAATTGGGGAGAAATTAAAGATCGTGCGCCGTTGAACCGAAATGACGCAATGGTTGACGTCAGATGAGAGAGAGGAGGAGAGAGATAGCGTAGGATTAAGGCCAGGTCTTTCCTCTGGCAAAGAATCATACTACTCCTACTAAATGATAGTAGTTCTTTTTTTTTCTTTGCCAGATTCTTGTCCATCTACCACAAGTTTGATGAAAAAAGGCATGAACTTTTCTGGAGTAGTTGACCAATGCAGCTGGAAGTGGGCAAATTGTTTCTGAAAAGTACTCCCAAACAAGTAGCGAACTAATTAATTAACTTAGCAAATTTCACGAACTTTGCTGAGCGTTCATGTTTAGCTACCTTTTGAGCTACTACCACTTGATTTGATTTGACTCAAGTTGTATTCCTCGATCTCGTACTGCAAAAGTGGTAGAGCAACATCTCGCACGTTTTTTTTCCATCTTCGATGGTGAATTTGTTCTAGGCACGGCCATTCTCCACCTCTGGCCACAGCCAGCAAGGAGGCCCAACCATAGTTGCTTTCAACCGGCAGCTTCTTCAGCAATGGCAAGGACCCATTTATTAGATTCTTCCTTATAATCTTTCAATGTAACTTCCGGCAAGAAATGGATTTATTTGTAATTTCTTATGGGTTGGAGTATATATAATTTTAAGCTGTGTTTCAGAGAAGCATGCACAAGAGGAAGAAAAATTATCCCTTTTCATACGCACGCCTTTTGAACTGTTAAGTTAAGTGGTGTGTGTTTTTTTAAAAAAAACTATAGAAAATTTCCTTTAAATATCCTACTAATCCATTCTTTAAATTTAAAATGATTAATACTTAACTAATTATATGCTAATAGCTCACCTTGTTTTACGTATAATCTCAATTTTCCCCTTTTCCCCTCCTCTCAAATACACCCTTATTCTATTCCCTCATAAAAAAAAGTCTGGTAATATTATTAATCTCATACATTTTTTTGCGGGGATTAATCTCATACATTGATTTACAATGCCGCATACAATATAAGACATGGAAATTTTTTTACCAACATAAGAGGAGGTGAGGGGCTATAACCTTTTTAATCTCACTCATATAGTCACATAGGTTATCAAATGTTCTTATTGTGTTTAACCTCCTTTTCAAAAGTATGGTGTTATGTTAAATAGAACCAGAAAGTACAACACCCACCGTCACTGTGCTTGTTTCCGAGTTGACATGAGGTGCCCTTACGTATTTGTTAATTAAGATCAACATTTGGACATGCTTTAGTTCCAAGATTTTTCATGTTAGCTTCACCCTGCACAATGTTTGGCTCTAGATCTAGAGATACCGAAAACTTCTTAATTACACCTCCCTTATCACCTCACTTTGCACATGTCCTAAGGAATTCTTAAGTTTTTCACCTTAATTTAAATATAACATATATTAAGGTCTCCATAGGAACCCATGATTTCACATGGAATAGTTCAATTAGATTTTGTAAGGGGACGAATGAAGTTATAGTTTTTTTTTCACATGAATTAGTTCAATCCACAAGAAATGAGATAAACTTCTATATTTAAAAAGAAATCTTGATACCTTTAATTTTTGTGATTAGCATGTTGCGCGCTCTCTAACCATAGCACATTGTTGCTAAAAGCACATGAAGTAGCTTGAGAAAAGTAGATATGGTTAAGCTGATTTTGGGGTTTTTTTTATTACAAAGAGATAAAAGGTTTAATTTATATTGACGGAGAAGCACACCTATGTAAAAGATTTTAGAGAGTATTAGTGTTTGGTGGGAGATATTCTCCCTCCCTCTCTCAATATTGTAATAACATCTAGTTTACAAGTGCTTCATGTAATTTGTTCTCCTTCTTGAGCAATGGTGTCTTCTTTATTTGTGAGAGGGAGGTTCCTTTTGGGTATCCGGGAAGAGATCCAGTGGATAAGCCTTTTTCTGCTACTTATGCCCCTTAACCCTTATATATCCTTTATCGCTCCCTCTTTGATTCACCACTCCTCTCTCTGTTACGATACCATGTTCCTCACCTCTGTACCCCACTAATCACCCATCTTCCTAATCAACTTGAGTTCCTATTTTATACCCTTATGATCGCCCTCATTCTCTCTCGCCTAACTTGAGACATAGTTATGCTAGTCTCCTTCTAAACCCAACCATTGCTGATTCAATAAAGATGGTTTGGTTTGCACTTAATGTTCGTCACAGTTAAAGTGGTGTAGAAGATGCATCCACAATCCCTAGCTAGTAAGTTCTCTCCATCTGCCTCTTCCTTGCCCACTTCGGCGAGATGCTAAAGATATTTCTTAAGTGACTTTATTCAATGAACCGACGAATCTCATCCCCGAGAAAAAAAATTTAGTTCTAAAAAATGTGCTACCTATAATTCAATATTTTATTTATGATTAACATATATTATTATGTACAAGTAGGTGATCTTTCAACATAATTTTTATGAGATCAAAGATGTATTTCTGGTTCCGTTGGGCACATTCATAAAGTGTAAGTGTTGGTATTGGGTGTGTGCGCATGTGTGTTTGTCGTGTATTAAAAAAAAAAACCCTACTGTATCTCTAGTAGTAATAACTGCACCTTTCATCCTTGTCACTAGCAAATTATACTTTAGATATTTTTGAGGCTGAGGGCGTGCTTATCTTTGCCCTAAAGTCCCACAAATAATCCCCAGGGATTAATCTCGGCCGTTCATGATCCCATCGCACGGCTGGGATAACGCTCAGGCACCGCACTAGTAGCAGAAGAAAAAAGCTACCGGGGCGGGCCACAGTCTCTCCACTATAGCAAAAGGGAAACGCGTCCGTGCGCCCGTGTATAATAGCGGGCGATCCACCCGTCGTCTCGTCTCCCCCGTTTCCCCCACCCTCGGCTGACGGCTCCTCCTCCTCCTCCTCCTCTTCCTCCCTCCCGATCCCCTCCCCCGCACGAAACTCAAAGCATCCCCGGCGCCGCAGCTCCCCGGAGGAGGAAGCCCCCGCGCCCCGCCCCGACCAGATCCGATGGCCAACAGCAACCTCCCCCGGCGAATCATCAAGGTCGCGCCTCCGATCTGATTGCCTGGGCGTAGATCTCCCCACGCCTCTAACCCGATTCCCCCCTTTTCTTTTCTTTTTTTTTTTATTTTCCCTTTCTGTGCTGATTTTTTGTTTTTGCTGTCTGTGTGTTCGCGTCTGGTTTGGATCTGCGCAGGAGACGCAGCGACTCCTCAGCGAGCCAGGTGCGGGCGGTTTTTTTTTTTTTTATGTATCGCGGATTTTGGCGATGGTGTTGTGTTTTTCCGTGGTTTGGGTTCGTGTTGTTCTGATGGTTTTGGGTTGGTTTGTTTGTGCAGCGCCGGGAATCAGCGCGTCTCCGTCGGAGGAGAACATGCGCTACTTCAACGTCATGATCCTTGGCCCGGCACAGTCCCCCTATGAAGGTACGGCACCCGATGGATACGTTATTTGTTGTAGAGGGTGTTACGGCTCCCGATGGATATGTTATTTGTTGTAGAGGGTGGTCGATTAGGGCGTTTCTAGGTATACCGCAGAATTGGGTGATTCTGTATAAACCCAATTACTAGAAGTGTTAATTATGTGTCAGTCATGGACGGGCACGCATTTCGTAAGCCTGCTTTTGCTTGATTAGGCTGGTTCTTTTGCACTTACCAGTTTTAGTTTCTCGGGCGGCGGGCACTTGCATGTTCTATGTGTCTCATATTCCCTTTCTAGTATGAAGTTAGTAATGCTAAAACACTAGTGACTTTTAGCAATAATGTTCTAAACTCGGATTATATACGTGACTTATAAGTGCTTTTCTTTTATGTGTTAACTTGTTTGATGCTTTGTGCGGCAAAGGTTGCCCTTGATTTTCCATAACCAAATTGATCTCTTCGATTTATTTGATTAGACTAATTATGAGTATTGATATTGTTGGCTTTTCATGTTGTGGTGTATAATTTAAATATTTCCTTTCTTAAACCCTTTTTGCGTTAATTCGGGTTGGATATATAATGGGTGTTAACAGTTAGTAGCTTTAGATGGTTTATTCTATTATCATTTGGCTTCCTGATATTGTTCTTTCTATCAGGTGGAGTTTTTAAGCTTGAACTCTTTTTACCTGAGGAATATCCTATGGCTGCTCCAAAGGTAACAAGACATAGATAAACTTTGGTTATGTTTTATATGATATTATGGGGACTGTATACCTTCAAGCTAATTATGTCGTATTTAGAATTGCGTGTGGTTATATACTCATATTAAAAGTCAGGACATTTCTGCATTCATTGACTTGTGTTGTGAAGCGGAGCATTAATTTGGTGACATTGGACTCATGCATATAACCAAATACAGGAAAGTAGCTGAAACATTTAATTTGTTTGAACCATTCTTTGGCAAAAAAAAATTTTTATTCTTTATAGCCTAATTTTTAGTTACCCATATTTAATCGTGTCGCTCTGGAACCATCGTTGGTTTTATATGTTATATGTGATGTCTTGTTGGTAATAGTTTTGTTACATTTGCTTGATTTCCTTTTAGGGATAATGCAAACCCTGCCTATTTGAGATGTAATTTGCAATGAGATCCTGTGCCAAGGACCAAGGTTGTAAGATATACTTTTGGTCCTGTGGGAACTTTTAGCTGTGTCCTGAGCATCAGCACGCCATTGCTTCTCTTGACCGTCTTTTTGCTTCAAGTTCTTAAAGGTGTTCTTAACATCACATTGTTCGTTTGGTGTTCAGCCAAATTATACCTTGATTAGTTATTTTTTTAGTCTGTTTGGCTTGACAATGTCATAGATTGGAAGGGTGAAGAAATATTACTCATATGTTATACAACCATACCGGATTATTGTCTACTTCAGTCTCCCTAAGTGTAAAGCTATATAATTCATTATTGTCTACCTCAGTCTCCATTTTTTCTTTGTTGCGTATGCAGGTTAGGTTCCTGACCAAAATATACCACCCCAACATTGACAAGGTTTGCAGTCACATTCCTCTTTGTTATTTAGTTTACTTCGTAATACATTGTTTATTCATTAATAGGTTTACTTTTGTAGCTTGGTAGGATATGCCTTGACATTCTCAAGGACAAATGGAGCCCAGCCCTTCAGATTCGGACAGTTCTTTTGAGGTCTCTCCCCCGTTGCCTGCACATGTGTATTAGCTTTTTATATCCTGCACAAATTCCTTGTCTGCTAAGCTGTTGTCTTATTACGATTGACATGATTTCTGTTGAATTTGAATTATTTGTTAGCTTACCTGCATTTAGTAATTTTATCACTGCCCTTGATGTGTTTTTCCAACAAAAACTCTTGAGCATTGTCAACTATTGGAAGTTAGGGGTATCACTTTGCTATACTTACCTTGTGACAACACTCTTTTTTTTCAGTATCCAGGCACTCCTAAGTGCACCAAACCCTGATGATCCTCTCTCTGATAACATTGCAAAGCACTGGAAAGCCAATGAAGCAGAAGCTGTTGAAACAGGTAAATTGAAGCTAGCAATCCAGTTAACAGTGTCTCCCCTCACACTCTGATTTTATTGGTTGCCTGATAAGCGATGGTCTGGCATTTGCAGCAAAGGAGTGGACTCGCCTGTATGCCAGCGGTGCATAAAACCCAATGCCTCTCGTGATGTAATAACCCGTCATGCTTTAGCCTTAATCAAATGCCATTTGCTTGATAAGAACAAACTGGAGATATTGGCAGTGGAAGGGAGTTTAAATGACTACCGCTTGAATTATTTGTCTGTATACATGTGGTTGGTTCCCTTTACCCTAGGGCACCCTTGACTAATCAGTATCTGTGGTAGAACTTGGTGCTCCTCCAATATATTTATTACTTTATGTTGGAAAACTTAAATTGTTGAAATTGGATCTTTGTTCGTGTGGCTGCACTTTGTACCCTCTAGTTTCTGTTACCTGGGAAATGGGAGATCGTTCCGACGAAGCCTGACGGGACGATTTGGCAAAATCGGTTGCGGTTGTCGTCGACTTGTGGCATCGTCTTGCCACTTTGTTGGCAAAGTACTACCGTACTTGTATGCCTGTAGCTTGTCAACTGCATATATAAGCGTATACGCCTTCCAAACGTGCGTTTCGATTTGGCAGATGTACTGTATGTGCTGTCGCAGGTGCCCCTTTGTTTTGTTTTTTCTTTTTCAGTATCAGTTCGGCGAACATAAGTGCAACATGGTATTGTTCTCTTATATTTTTTCTGGCCTTTGTGGTTTGATTTTTATTTGAGGGGATTTTGACCTTAATTGCTGCTCGTCAAAATTCCAAACAGCGTACTTCATGCCCCGGTCATCCAAAGCAGCCATTAGCTGGACCATTTCAGTTTCTTTGGCTTGCGAATTTGATGATGTTGACGGGAATAAGCTACGGGGTCGCCCACGGGCTCACGCACTCGCAAATGATTGGAACCGTGGATGGCTGTGAGCCTGTGAGCACGCAGCGGAGCCTTCACGAAGCGAACGCCTGTCTGCGCATGCTGCAAACGTGGCTTTATCGGGTAAATTGGAACCATGCCATTATAATTTTGTAAAGTTTGAGATATGCTATCGGTATCTCAATAACACGTAGGACCCATGTGAGTCAATGACATATGATTCAGGATGACATATCTTAAATTTTGCAAAATTATAATAGCATGGTTCCAGTTTTCCCATAAATACTACCTCCGTTTTTTAATAGATGACGCCGTTGACTTTTTCTCACATGTTTGACCATTCGTCTCATTCAAAAAATTTACGTAATTATAATTTATTTTGCTACGAGTTGTTTTATCACTCATAGTACCTAAAGTGTGATTTATATCTTATACATTTGCATAAAATTTTTGAATAAGATGAATAGTTAAACATGTGAGAAAAAGTCAACGACGTCATCTATTAAAAAACGGAAGGAGTATTAAATTAAACAGAAAACGACCATTCTTCCCTGCAACTCAGCGAAGGCCTGGAACATCTCTCTCGCTGGAATATTCTGAAGCTGCTATGTCAACCTTGGAACTAACGACTCGTGCATTCATTCACTTGTACTCTTTAAAGTTTAAACAGGAGTGCTACTACTAGTAGCACTTGGTTCAAACAGTACAATGAGCATTTTAAACAAGTTTAACTACGGAGGTTATAGCTAACCTCTAATTTTATCCACACCATCCACTCATCAATTTTAAAGTTTACAAATCTCTAGTACTAGTAAACTAGCTTCTAATCCATTACTGCAAAATGCAAATCTGCAATACTCTCTTATTCTCTCATCTTCCCTCTTCCCTCTTGTATGAAGAGCGGCATCTCACTTTTCTTCATATAGTCGTTTACTATCTTCATTTTAAAATATAAAAATATAGTACTAGTATGGATGGGTTGATTTTACCTATTTTAGTAGTTTAGATTGGTAGTAATATAATAATAAGTCTAATCTCATCTTTAGTTGTTCTGTTTATACATAGCAAGCGATTAAGAGTTTATCATAGTAGTACTGTACTTGCTTCAACAGTAGTAGCACTGTAGCTACAGCTATAGCCGCACCACTGCAGGTAGCATCACTGACACGCGGGCCCTGCCCACGTGGTCGGTAGCGGGTCGCCCTGCCCACGGTGTCAGCCTCAAGTGGGGAGGTCCCCGCCCGGTGCAAAATCAGCGCAGATTCGCCCGCCTGTCCCCGGTAGCGACTACCCCCCTCTCCTCCTAGCAGTTGTAGCAAGTCCAACTCCAACTCAGCGCCTCCGCTCCTCCTCACATCGCCAGCTCGTCCGCTTGCCCCGCACCGCAACCGCGGCGCGGAGGAGGAGAGCTCTCGCGCCGCGCGTGCGCGCGCGCGTGCGGGCGTGCGCGGGCGATCGAATCCGATCGCCATGACCGGCGCCGACGAGCCGTCCATCACCCGCTGGACCTTCGAGGTGACCTGACTCCGCACCACTCTCTCCCTTTGGCTTTCTGTTTGATTCGATTCCTCTCCTCTCCTCCCCGCTGTCCTGTTCCCTTTTTCACCCTTCGTCGCTGTCGCGCGTGCTGAGATCGTGTCCGTTTCGCGTGCGCAGGACTTCGAGGTCTACTACGAGGTGCGCCTCGGCATCCGCCGCGAGCCCGGGGGAGATGAAGACGGCGACGGCGACGGCGGCGGAGGTCGCGGCTACGCGCCGCTTGGATCCGGCTCCGCGGGCAGCACCCGCCCCTCCGCGGCGCACGCCAACGGCGGCGCCGACCTGGCCGTCTTCGAGCAGTTCGAGCGGCTGGTGCGTCCGCCCTTCTCTCTCTATATCCCCCCTCTGCTCTGGATGATAAGTTGTTACTGCTTCAGGGATGATTTTGTGATTTTTTTTGCCTTCTCTGTTTTGGTGCCAGGAGAGGAAGGTGGAGCTGCGGAATGGAGCAATTGAAGCTGGGCCTCCGTAAGACTCGTTGCTTTCTATGGAGTATAGTACATCCAGTTTGACTGCATTTTTTCTATCTGAATTGTGAAAACTTCCTCTGAAGTTATTTGGTTTTTGTCTGGTGTAAAATTGTTAGCTCCTTCGTTGGCGGGATGAAATTTAATTGTGACCAAAGTGGTTGATCCGATCCTGATTTGGGCATTAGCTAATATGGGATCAAAACCATGCATTGTATTTCAGTTGTCCAAACCTTAGAAATAGCAACCTTATGATGATTTTGTTGCTATAGTTGTCTGCATGCATGCATTTTAAGCAGTTTTATGTCTGGCATATACTATGGAAAATAGTATTTGCTATAAGTATCTCAAATGTAAACATTAGTTTTTTCATTTTTAGTGATGCTATTAGTTTATAGTACAACAAAATTGCTGGAACTTATCGCTTTAATGTCAATTAGATATCTGGTTATTCCTAACAGTACCTACTATATTCAAAGGAAGTTTCCAGCTATATTTTCCCCTGTTCAACCATTAATTCTGAAGTATTATTGTATTGTCCAGTCACACAATAAAACTCCCCAGCCCATTCCTTTCTTTCACCTATCATGTATATTACACATGTATCTTTGTGATAACTGACTTAAGATCTTTGCAGGCAGAAATCCCTACTTCCTTCTTTTGAATCTGCAGAAATGCGCAATTTAGCTGAGACATTGTTGAGGTAACACTGCCTTTTGGTAAATGTGGCCAGACTTATCTATTTGGTACTGTAATGTATACAGACTTATAACCATACCTTCTTGGTGTAATGCCAATAGGGATATCATTCGTGGGAGTCCAGATGTCAAATGGGAAAGCATTAAAGGTTTGGAGAATGCAAAGCGTCTTCTGAAAGAAGCAGTTGTGATGCCTATAAAATACCCCAAGTAGGTTTCTGTCTTCTCACAGAAATAATATATATGATATATGCTCACAACATAGGCCGTGTTTAGTTCCTTTTCAAATTTTTTTTTGAAGTATACGGACACACATTTGAAGTATTAAACGTAGACTAATAACAAAACAAATTACAGATTCCGCCTGTAAACTGCGAGACGAATCTATTAAGCCTAACTCTTTTCTGCTTATAGAATCTCAAAATTCTTGATATGACCTGCAATACCAAGAAGATGTGTCTCTTCCTAACTTCCTTTCATCAACGTATAGCATAGGCAGACGAACTATCTAAACACTTTTGAACAAGTAACTTTGTCGTTTAACATGTCTGGAAAATATTTTCATACCTGACATTCGTGGCTCAAAAGAATGTTGCATTCTTGCATCGAATTTTGTGATTGGTGATGCTTCACATATCTGCATGGTCATGTTTGCATATTTAAAAGGTCAGATCAGATCTCCCTAAGATTGCATTTAAGCAACCACTGTTATTCATGATAATATGTCGCATACCATTTACTTTAACTCTTTCAGTTTGATGGTACAATGCCCCATGTGTGTGTTTTTGGTATCTTCTGAAGAAAGTTTTTTGTTAGATGTAGAATCTTTACCAGTCAGGCAATTATTTATCTAACCTGTATATTCGTTTTGCTAGTTGTTACACCGCATGCTTTCTATATCGTTTTTTGCTAATTAGATTCAGGAAAAAACTCCCAAATTAGCTTATCTGATGGCTTCTATAACTTGTGTTAGAAATCAGTATTTTGGACCTACCATTGGTTCTCAATTATTTTCTTTTTGAACTGTAGGTACTTCAAAGGTCTGCTATCACCTTGGAAAGGTATATTGCTTTTTGGTCCACCAGGAACAGGAAAGGTTTGCACCTTACAAAGATCATTGCATTTTAGTTGTATAGTGTATATGCTAAGACTATATTGTTATCTTTGTACTATTTAGATGCTTAGCAAGGAACTTTTCTTGTATATTGTAAGATTATTTTTTTGGCATAACAATGAATCTATGTTCTCCCTGTCCTAAAATATGTTACATTTCATCATGGACTATAGTGGTTGAATTATTTGGTGAAGTATCTTTGTTTTATATTATTGCTGCCTTGTATTAAAAAAAACATCAATCGCCATTTGAAATACTCTACTGGGATTCACCTCAGCATTTGTCTGTTAAAGATAGTAGATTTACCTCAGCATTTATCTGTCAAAGATCATAGATAATTAAATTATTTTACACATATAACTATATAGTTAGCACCTACAATAAGCTGTGGCTGGTCTGTTATGTTTTCCCTTGCTTCTTTTGTCTTTTGTGCTACAGAACGTTCCACTAGTCTATTGCATTTGTTTATGTACTTGTTTGCATACGTTTCCCTTCATACCAACTCCGTTTCCATTCCATATGTTGCTTGTCGTGCTATACGAACTCAAATTGCTGATCATGTATGCTTGATGTAACTGTTTTGATATATTTTGTTTCAGACAATGCTAGCAAAAGCTGTGGCTACTGAGTGCAAAACAACCTTCTTCAATATTTCAGCCTCATCAATTGTCAGTAAATGGCGTGGTATGGCATTACTTTTGCTTGCGTTCTGAGATGCATTTGCATTGTTTCCCTTTTAATGCTATTGTTGTTGTAGTTTCTACTTCTTGTCATGTTGTATTGCTTGTATGACCAACTAATCATGTAGATATGTGATACATGCATGCACTATTTTTTTGTGTTTCTATCTGCTCTTTATATATTTTTTAAAGCAATCCGTATTAGCAAATTTCTATAGATTTACATTGGATAGTATTTACTCTTCCAAGTTTTATAAAGTTAATACATGTTTCTCCAGCACTAAAGAGGTCCACAGTTAACTATTCATTGATACTACTCAACTGTATCCTTAAACTCACTTAAGCGCCACCAATAGGACTGAAACATTCATAATTCTTTTTTTTTTTTTCATTTCCTTCTTTCTATATTCCCCTAACAGGCAGTTATCTTTTGGCCTCATGTACTAGCAGCTTGAAAAATATCAATAATCACTGTTGTGCATGACAGTATTCTATGGATCCTAGCATATGCCACATTTCTTTTGGACTTAATGAAACCATCAAATCTTCTCCTTCACCCTTGCATACCATGTTATGGCACCCAATGGTGTAGGGCTTCCATAGCCATTGTTGGCCACTGCCCACTGACCACTGGCTCCCTATTTGCACCAGAGCCTACTAGCCTAATACTCCTCTGCCACCCTCACTCCGCCTGTACATTTTGTGGAACATTGTATATCCAACAGCACTAACCTTTGTGGAACAATCACCTCATCCTTTTCATTCATCAATTTGGAAGAACAGATATGTGGAACTATATAATTCCTTCTTGCTATTAATAACGGATGGATGAACCTGTACCTGACTAGATCGAACTTATAACTTCTAACTCACATCCTTACCATACATGATATTCTGTCCTTGCTCCATTTCTATCGATATTTTAGTAAGTTTTCCCTACCTAATAGTTACAACGGTGCAGGTGATTCGGAGAAACTAGTGAAAGTCTTATTTGAGCTTGCAAGGCATCATGCACCATCCACCATTTTTCTCGATGAGATTGATGCTATTATTAGCCAACGTGGTGAAGCTCGTAGTGAACATGAAGCCAGTCGGCGATTGAAGACTGAGCTATTAATACAGGTAGCATTCTTGAGGCTTTGTAAAGTGATTATGCTGAAACTTTCACTGCTTCATAAGTAGTATGAGTTTCTCAGCCCTAAATTGTGAACATAACCCTATGGAGGAAAATTAACAAAGAACAAACTCTTTAGATATCATATATCTCAGCATATGGGATTCTGTTAAAAAGGACGCGAATATTAGGGAAGGATCTAATATCAAATAACTAGAAGGGGTGAGGCTTCGAACCCAGGTCGTCTAGCCCACCATCTTGTGGAGCTAGCCGGAAGACCCTTGGTGGTTCTCAACATACAGGATTCTGTTAGTATATGAAACCTTTCATAAATTGATATGTATAATAATCCTGAACTTGTGTGATTTCATTCACATGGTGATAAAAGCAGTCATGAATTCTGATAATTTGTTGCTGCAGATGGATGGGTTAACTAAGACAGATGATCTCGTTTTTGTTCTAGCCGCCACAAATTTGCCATGGGAACTGGATGCAGCAATGTTGCGCCGTTTGGAGAAACGTGTATCCTTTTTTCTCAAACCATCTTGTAATTTCTTTGTTCACGAGTGCTCCTAAATACTACTCCGTAATTGCCAGTTTTGCTATTAGGTAAACTCCCTTGTTTTGTCCGCAAATGCTTGATGTTTTGGACAAAATCTGGTTAAACTTTTGAAACCTTGACTATCGATGAACTTTAAAAACTTAGTTCAAAAACATAAATATGATATGCTTTGATTTGTTTTAAAGTACTTCCAACATCTCATAAACTTATTAGATTTTATAAACCTATTCTAATAAAATCATGGTAACAATCGCACCTTGAAGACCATGAAAAAAAATTCAAATCTCAAATATGTTTAACCAGAAGTAACAATACCAAAGATCATTTTCTTATGTGAGGAACTACTGATTTGAATTTCAGATTGAGAATAAGTGATTCTCTTATTATGTAGTAAAGAGAATGTTTGATGATGAACATTTATGTAGCCTATTTCCAATGCTTGCCTTAAATCTATTTGTAGTTGTAAATGTTGCCTATTTCCAATGCTTGCCTTAAATCTATTTGTAGTTGTAACTGACACATCATAGGCTTCTTACTGAAGTTATTGTTTGTACTAAAAACTGTTAAAGAATTCAATCTCGATTCTTGTATCTTTTCTTATTGCGATACTGGAGTTTGTATATAGGACCACACTTGATTTTTCCACATAAAAAGGGAAATCCATCCTTAACTTGCAATTAGATTCTTGTTCCCTTACCAGAGCAAGAAGCTAGACATGCCATGTTTGAAGAGCTCTTGCCATCTGTTCCTGGCACAATGAATATCCCATATGATGTTCTTGTGGAGAAAACTGAAGGATATTCAGGCTCTGATATACGCCTTGTGTGCAAGGAGGCGGCAATGCAACCCCTTAGAAGGTTAATGTCGGTTCTTGAAGGAAGGCAAGAAGAAGTGCCTGAGGATGGTACGTGATATATCTTGAACTTGTGATTTCCTAACTTCCCAGCAACTTAATTTTCTGTTATCTTCTTCCTTTTTCTTCCTTTTTTCATCCTTATTTCTATCCCCTTTTCCTGTTTCTTGACATTGTTCCATTTTGACTCACCATTAATACAATGGTTATAAGGTAGAGCCTCTCTACCTTTTGCGTCAAAAAAAAAAAAACCCCCAGCAACTCATACTCACCTTTAGTGTGTACAAGTACAAGAACAAAGATAATGTGCCTACCAGGGAACTTATAGACTTAATTTTCTTTGTTTAGTAATTAGTACTCATTACAACTTCAGTGAGTTTAAGTTCTGTAGACTTGTATGTTTGCATTCAGTAGCTGAAAAAACCGAACCCGTATAAAGAAACAGTAGCAACAAAAGAAGAATTTATATTCCTCCATGGCGCCTCCAATGCCACATAAAAGTATGCTATAATTTCACTGCACAAAAAATGATCCTGCTGCTCACATTATCGAAGTCAGTGATACAGTAGGACTTATTTTGGGGGGAAATGTTGCAGAGTTGCCTGAAGTTGGTCCAGTAACGACAGAAGACATTGAGCTTGCACTAAGGAATACACGGCCATCTGCTCATCTTCATGTACATAGATACGAAAAATTCAATCAAGACTATGGCAGTCATGTCCTCAGCTAAAGGTGAGTTGCAAAAGCAAAGGTTATTTGCACAACATAGATTGCTGAATTTCCTCCTTGAAGCTTGAACTGTTCCCTAGTATTGTGGAAATCCTCCTGACGGAATCTTGCCGATAAGACTTTTCATTTGCACCTAGTATGGTTGATAGAATGCTGAATTACCGCTGATGTATTTACAACTAATGAGCATTCTCTTTACACAATATTTGTTCCTGTACCATGTATATTATCATTTGTTTGACGAATAATAAGCTATTTGGGTAATCCTTGCCCTTTCGGAATATGAGAGAAACATTGTACATTTGTACTGGGTACCACCAACCCCTGTCCTCTTGTCCCTGTTTCTTCTATTTGTGGCAATTAATTATGCTAATGGACTAAAAAACTTCCTCCAGCTCCGTCAGATAATGCATCGGCTTTTGCTATTTGCATCGGGTAGCCATGATTCTCTCTAGGCCACTACCTGCTGCTTAGTCCAAATTAGATGGCAACAATAGCGAAAGAAACATGTATTTGGAATCAAACAGTCCTCTTCAACAACCAACTGCCTCCCTAATATATCCCGCGTGTGGTACTGTACCAGCTAGCCAACCCCTCGTTTGCTACCACGTAAGATCCACTATAACTAACAAAGTCCATACATTAGTCATACTTTATACAGAGAATTGTGATGCCGATATAGGTACAGTTATACGATCGCGCAAATTAAGCGTCTAGTGCGTCATCGAATCCCCACATCCAACCTGCCTTTCCGACCAAGCTGTTTAAAACTATACAAGAATAGCACCAGAGTTCTTTTGGTATAATGGTACCAGCCAGTTTAACTTGTAATCTGTGAGATCTTCCAAGACGTATGAGGCATAGTTCCCGTGGCGAACCGACGTGGAATCGATGATCCCAAGAACTGATTAACTTAAACACAAGAGGGCTTGTTAATCTACGGCTCCGTCTGCGCGCCACATCGACCGATCGATATGATGAGCGACCGCACGTACGCCCTGAGCAATCACTAGCCTGATATCATCTCCTATATAAAGCTCGTCGTCGAGGCTAGCATACATCCATCGACGTACACGCCTACGTACCTACACACAGACACAGTAGCTCGCTCGCTAGCTAAGCCGTCGACGTCGCACACACGCACCTGACGACGTAGTTAAGCAGTTGAAATTAAGCTAACTGTAGCGCCTAGCACTTGATTTACTTATGGCGAGGCGTGTCGGCGTCGTTGTGGCCGTGATCGCGGCGTGCGTGCTGCTGGTGGTCGGGATGACGGCGCCGCCCGTCGACGCGGCGGCGGCGGCGGCGGCACGGCGGCTGGGCAACGGGAGGGACGCCGCCGTGACTGATCCGGCCTTGGAGGCAATGATGCCGGCGCAGACGACGGTGGCACCGGTGGTGGCGGACGGCGGCGACGTCGACGTCTCCGGGTCAAAGAGGCTCAGCCCCGGAGGACCAGACCCGCAGCATCACTGAGATGTAGTATATCTCACCATATATACGCGCTCATTCTTGATTCTTGCATTGCATTGTGTGCTCGTTTCTCCAGTTTTGTGTGCCAGCGCGTGTGTGTGAGCGAGAGAGCGTTGTGTGCTCGTTTCTCCAGTTTTGTGTGCCAGTGTGTGTGTGAGAGAGAAAGAGAGAGAGAGAGCGGCGCGAGAGCTCTAACCTGCCAATAAAGAGCCGGATAGTGCCGCAGTTTGGAAGAGAGGTTATGCCCAAAGTTTTTTTGGAAGAGATGTAGTGAGTGTATTTTGTACGATACATTTGTACTCCTTTATATTAAGAGCATATGACTAATTCGCCGTGTGCTACTATGTATCACTTAGAAAATGAGACATACACAACACATGTTCAATAAAATTCCTCAGATAACCTCTGGCAAATTCAAAATCGTCAGGATGCGTTATGACAGGTCCAAGGAGAGGTGAGATATGGCCAGAGTGTAGCTTCTAATAAGGAGAGCACAGAGCAGGCAGGCAATAATCCTCTAATAATCCTGTCAAGTGTGATTGACTATACATGTGTCCCGTTATAAATCTGCAGTGCCAACTGATGTACTTTACAGAATTTGTTCAGCATGTTGTACTGGGAACACTGTCTCCCATTACTGCTGGAAAGAAAGAAAGAAAGGGCAAACATGATGTAATAACTGATAACAGTTCATTCCCTTCAAAATTCTTGTAAAATTCCTACTATGTTCCAAAGTTGATCTTAGAATGGAGATGGCTCAAAAGATCTAAAAACAGTTCATTCCCTTCAAAATTCTTGTAAAATTCCTATGTTCCAAAGGAGACCTTAGAATGGAGATGGCTCAAAAGATCTAAAAACCTGCGCAAAAACTTGACAAGTATACTTCAAGGGTGACCTAATCAGACTAGGTAAAAAAACTAAATTAAACTTGGTGAAGGCGCATGGAGCATCCACAACACAAAAAAGAAAGTCATTGATGGAGTATTGTTTTGTTTGCACCATATCAAGAACTCAAGGTACATTTTCTTTTGATAGATACTAGTCTGCCTCTATAGCACAAACATGCAGAATCGGAGAAATCTAAGCCAGAGCAGAAGGTACTACTAGCCACTAGCCAGGGACTACCACAACATTTCACTGATCCTTTGCACGATATGGATCAGGGGACAAGCCAGATTGGAGGCGAGCAATCCGCGGTAAATCCACGAGGGAATTGCCGGGAGCCGGCTCTGATCTTCTTACCATCCCTGTAAATGCCCATGTTGTACCTGCTCCCGTTGTTCATCACCATGGAGTCGCACATGTCGACGTTGGCGTCGTCGAGGAAGTAGATGGTGTCCTCCTTGAGCATCTTGAACTGCGACACCTCGACCGCCCTGGAGCAGCCTCGCCGGAGGAAGAGCGCCCGCCCGGACAGCTCGTGGATCTCCAGCCAGTACGCCCCCGTGGGGAGGAGGCTCATCTCGAAGACCCGGAACATGCGCGTGCGCCGCCGCACGCGGGGGTTGCCCGTGCAGTGGCGCACCACCATGAGCAGCTTCCCGCGGGACTCCACCAGGTAGCGCGTCGCGATGAACGACGCCGGCAGGTGGTTGGCGCGGCGGCGCATCTGGTAGGATGCGCAGGTCATCTCCAGCAGCGCGTTGGGGTCGCGGCCGGCGCGGGGCGCGAACACCAGGACTTCCTCCCTGTTGGTGAGGACGTGGAAGCCCTGCTTCTCCTCGCCGCTGTAGTAGATGATGTCCTGGATCACGTCCGGCTCAGGCCGGCTCGCGATCCAGTGCCTGGACATCCCAGGCTGCCAGAAGGCGATGTTGGAGGCGCTCGAGACGTGCGCGGCGGCGATGCAGTCCGGCGAGGCGGGCGGCGCGGAGAAGACGATGGTGCGGACGAGCATGGGGTGGTGGCTGGTGACGGTCACGGGCCCGTACCCGTGGGCGTAGGGGACCTCGAGCCTCAGCTTCTCCGGGAGGGTAACCCTCACGCCGGTGAAGAGGTTGACGGCCGCGAACCCTCGCCACGGGTCCACGGCGACGGCGACCCAGCCGCCGTCGTGGGCGCCGCACAGGCGCGCGCCGCGGACGCCCTCCGGGAGGGTGAGGTGGCGGGTGGCGCCGGAGTGGAGGCTGAAGAAGGACGGCGCGTCGCGGGACGGGAGGAGCAGCCACGGGAGCCCCCGCTGCGGGGCGTCGACGAAGGCCGCGGCGGTGCGCCACGGGCGGCAGACGGCCGCGAAGCAGGCGCGGTCGGCGAGGCAGCTCAGCTGCTCGAAGATGACGCCGAGAAGCTCGGGCGGGAGGCCATCGGACCACGGCGGCCGTGGCGAACGAGCCATGAGAGACCTTACCTTTCAAATTTACGGATTAAGGGAGCTGATTGGAGCCTGGCCACCGTCGCCGCGCGCCGCCGGCTGACGGCGAAATCCGGCGCCGCCCGTCGCCGGTGAGCGGCGAGCTCTGACGCTGCGCGTCTCTGGCGGCGATCAACCGATTGGGGATCGGGGCACCGGGGAGCGATTAGGGATTAGGGATTAGGGATTTAGGGATCGGGAAATTGGGGGGAAATTTTCGTTGTGGGTTTTACTTCAGATCGATGTGGCTGCCAGGCAGATGCTGGGGTTTCTCTAGAAGGTACTAGTAGGAAATAATTTAGAATAGTTTTATGAGGATTAATTGTTTGCCAATTCTGGGTTTAGCCATTTGTGTATTGGGAAGAAAAGGTGATTAAGCCTGTTATAGCTGAATGCTGGGATAGGGTTATTTTGATTTTTTCCCCTTTTGGATAGAGAGTTAATTTAGACTTTTTTGGCTGGATAATATTAGCATTATCTCACCTCTATCTCTATCTATTTTAAGACATTGAGGATAAGATGAACAGTACTACGTGTGAAGTAAACATTTAAAATCACCTTATCCTCTACGTCTCAAAATGGATAAATGATAGAGATAAGATAATGATAATTTTCTTCAGGCAACAAAGTCCTAAAGAATAACTTCGAATTAACCCTCCGAGCAAAAGGAAAAGAAACCCGGAAAATGTTTCAACTTATGTAAAAATATGTTTTAGATGCTTCACCATTCAATAAAAAATGTCTCAACAAAAAAATATTTTAGATGCTTCATTGATCAATGAAAAATATTTCATCGCTTAATGAAAAGTGTTTCAAGCAAATGCAACATTGAGAAAAATGATTGAAACATCAAATTCTTGCTATTTGCAACATCCGACAAAAGAAAGAATAAAACACTCCAATACGAAAAAGTGCAACAAAGAGAGAACAATGATCTGCAACAAACCTATTCTCTGCCTTGTTCCTCTACTCTGCTGGCTGGATTCATCTTCTTCCTTATCCCTAGTAGTATTAAGTAGTACAAACAAGGAGAAACATATAGAGCTCCGTTGCCAGCATCGGATCGAGCGTCCCCGAGTGCTGGAATCGCTAGATCTGACGCCTTTAGGCCTCGCTAGCACCAGATCAGGCTTTCTCAAGCCCGACTGTCGTTTGATCGGGTGCTCCGAGCATCGACACTGCCAGAGCTGGTGTCGGTGCTACCTCGCCACTGCTTGTCTACTACCGTGCTCTCCGAGGGAAGAACGGAAGTGTATAGGAAGCTGTCAGGAAGGAAGGAAATAGAGAAATGGGGGTGGTGCGCGGGACATGTGGAGAGAGAAAAAAAGGAGGAGCATGATCTGTGACAGATGTGGACGGAAACTTCGAAGTGGGGGCGGCGTCCGATGCATCTTATACGCTTGGATGACTGGCTAGTAGTACTTTCGGATTAGTTGTACATATGTTCATAATACGCAAATTCGTGTCATTTGGAATCTCTTCGTTTGAGGGTGGATAATTTCTAATGACTTCCCATGTTATACTAAAATACTAATTGGAGATGATTTTATCTTGACAAAATTCTTTATGAAATTGCTTGCGGCCGAACGTATGACCAAATAAAAATATTAGAAACTCCATTAACTTCCACCATCCACTTTCCAAAGTAGGAGTGTAACACTCATTACACGTATAGATTTGAGGTTTCACCGGCAAGCCTCCCCTCGTCAATCTCACTACCATTGTCCATTGTAACAACGTGGGTCATGCCCACTCTCCTCCTCCTCTAGTGCCGCCACATCTACGTTGTGTCGTTGTCTTTGTCTTGCTCTTGGTCTAGATCCGATTCATCTGAAGCTTCATCTGATGAGTGTCCCCCTGTCGAGCTTGCCACCACCATCAGCTTCAATGTCACAGTTCAAACTTTACAAATTTCAGTGGCACACACCGATAATGCGAATAAGAATGGTTGGTTTTCAACCGGACAATTTTGTAATTGCATGAATCCAATTAAGCCTAGATTTTCCAAAATACTATATTGGTCCTCTATCATAATTATGTGCTAGCTACTTAAGAAATATAATTCTGAAGGTGAAAATTTTCATTTAAAAAAATTAAAGGGGGTAAATTATTTGACCCCTTCTCAAAATTTGTTTTTTGGAATGAAACTATAATCAAATTTGATGAATTTTATACAACAATTTGGTCAAAGTTCAAACTGAACTAAAAATAATCTTGGTTTTCAATCATCGCTGAAACTTATGAATTTCATCATTGTTTTAAGAATTATTTTGAAAGTTCAAATTTTGGTTTCAGAATTTGGGGTAAGATTGTTTTACCCATTTGATTTTTTTATAATTTATTTTTCCACCGTGGATCTTATGTTTTTTTAATAGCTAGCACATAAGTATAAAAGAGGAGGCATTATTATAAGTCATTTTGGAAAAATCTCATGATCAACTAATAAAATGGGCATAGAAGTGATTAAAATGAAAACCAAGGATATGCTACATGAAGCAAATTTTAGATGTGTAGAAGGAACGAAGTGAAAACTCAAGAGTTACCTAAGGAATTTTCTGTGTCTTTGTAGACATGCAGGTGACCGTACTTGCATGCTCTATATGCACTGACTTAGAAAATGTTATTGACCATTTTCATTTACTTCCATACCATTATAGCATATTAGTGACATCAAAATGGTGAATTTTTCCATTCATCCCATGCATGATGCTCTTTCTAACAATAATATCCCAACCATAAATGGAACGCTATGGAAGTTGAAAGTTCCACTCAAGATCAAATTTAGTATTTACAACACATGGTGTTATGTTGACAAAACATAACATTGCAATAGGAATTTAGAGTTGAAGTAAAAGAAAGTGTTGCATAACAGCCACAACACTATGCAAACTGAGCGAATTAGCCCCTCAAACTGAATTGGTGGTTTTAACCCTACATGGCACTATGGTCCACTTGTCGCCCCCTCACATGTCATCCTGTTCCTCCTCGGCTCATCCCAAATCCCTCCTGGAATACAAGGCTTGGTTTATGGAATGGCAACTGTGCTAATTAAGCATGGGGTAATTAGTAGTAATCCTTAAGTTACTAGCGTTAAGCCTCGCCGGTGTGATGTCTAGGCGGCCATGTGCTTGTTGCTGAGGATGCCTTTAGAAGAAGCTCCGCAACACCACTACGCCGAGCTCGGAAAATGAAGCGCACGGTCGCTGGCGGATATGAGATTACATGCCGTGAGCAGCGTGGCCTTGGTGGTCTTCTGCGAGGAGACAGTGCTCCCAATAACGCTGACAAGCGGGCCGCACATGCCGTGCGTTCTCGAGATGGCATCCAGAATGAGGTCGAGATGGCTGCCGGACGAGGTGAGCTCGTGGAGCACGATGGCTAGCTGCATTCGTCCATGTGGCAAGCATTGCAAGATCACCATCCACGGTCTCCCCTGTGAGCTACCTACAGAACACAACAGGCTCCTCGCAAAGAGAGAGTGAGATAAGAAAGAGAGAGTACAAGCGAGAGGTGGAAGATGGTTCTCCTTATTTTTTTTATTGAAAATATCTTGATTGGATCGCCATATCGGTGCCATGCATGTGGACAGATCATTTGTCGAATCGGAGCAAAACTGCCTCTTATTGAGTCAGTGGTTGTGTGTCTGGTTTGCAAAGTTTAAGGTTGTAAATATCTCGTATTAGAGTTTAGGTGGTAAATCAAACTTTTACGGCTACCTATTGGAACCACCTATTGACGTGAACAATGGTTAATATCCAACATGGTCTAATAGATGGCTTACTACTCGTATCATGTATACAATCTTTGTGTATATAAGAACTAAATCATTAATTGTATTATAGACAACTTATTGTTATACCATCTTGATATGATGTAGAAAGGTTATATAGGCAGGAGCCGTTTAACCATTGTTCATTTCCTTAGTATATCTCATTTCTTTTGTTATTGGTTAGTAGACCTCGATTAAACCTCTAAAATGCAAGTTATGGTCCGAGTTTCTTTGTGTAACATTCCACTTGGCTTTGTCGAAACGGCATTATGTTTGTGAAGAAAAAAAAAGGAAAACCGGTAGTCCTGTGCAGATCATTTTTGTATGCACCAATTGCCTGAGGCTTTAGCACAAGGATTCTTAAACTGTGGCGGTCCAAACTCCAAACAAACCACTCATTGGAGCAAGTGGCCATGGAACTATTCAAATGGCGGCTTAATAGTAGTGAATTCTTCTGAGAGAGAATCGTGTACAATTATTTTAGGACTGTAGTGTACACCTACCCACAAAAATTAGTAATACAGTCTGGGAAAGCCACTAGCTAGGGCATTATCGAAATCCTCACATGCAACCAACGAACCAGACCGGTTTATGCAAATAACGTCACAACGACATTAACCACTCGAACGGAAAGCAAGCGGTCTTCTGGTCCAAAAACCAGAAATACACGGTTGTGGATCAATGAGATTGTGAGAATCTTCTGAAGACGAATCAAGTTTCGTGTTAGCGCAAATCGACGTGGAAGATCGACCATAAGAAACTAATTAACTCAACGCAAGAGGGTCTATTAATTCTCGCACTCGAGCCAAGCTTCCCTCTATATATAAGCTCGTAGGGGGCTAGCTCTTGATCATCATCACTGGAAGATATACACAGATAATACAACTGTCTCGATCGACCGATCGACGTACGCAGTAGTAGCTAGCCGTCGTCGTCAAGCACAAGCGAAACCGCACGTAAACGCGATCAAAGTTAACTACATATGGCTAGGCGTGCCAGCATTATTGTTGCGGCCGTGATCGCCGCGTGCGTCCTGCTGGTCTGTATGACGACGTCGTCCGTCGTCGACGCGGCGGCGGCTGCGCCTGCACGGCGGCTGCTGGGGAGCGGGAGGGACGACGACGCCGTGGCGGCGCCGGTCGTGAACGTGGCTGCGGCCGCGGAGCCAATAATGCAGCAGCCGGCCCAGATGGTGGCACCTGTGGTGGCAGACGGCGACGACGGCGGCGTCGTGCCCGCGGGGTCCAAGAGGCTCAGCCCCGGAGGACCGGATCCTCAGCATCACTGAGCTAGAGATCGATCATCATATACTCCACCATCTCGCTATAGATCATTTTGCGTTGTATTTTTGCTCGTTTCGATCTCCAGCTTTGTGTGTGGCGCAGTGTGTGCGTCGGTGTGTGCGTGTGAGTCAGCGAGTGTATGACGCTGTGCATGTGTGAATGTACTGTCTTGAGAGAGAGGGAGAGAGAGGACTTCGCGTTCTCTTTCACTCCTTGGTGTCAATAAATTAAAGTGCCAAATAGTGTACTGGCTTGGCATACGTACGTTAATTCCTTTTGCAGAGATAATGTAAACAACCGAGTCACACACATATATATACTAGAAAAATACCCGTGCGTTGCAACGGGTAAAAATATTTT